GGAAGGAACAGCATGCAATAGGCAATTCAGCTCACCTTCCCTGCTAATATTCCTTTCAATTGGAGAAGGAAGTACATAATTGGGTACTACCTGGGCTACACCAATATTAAGGGAGAGTCCCAGACTATAGTAGGCACCTGAAAAAAGGTTAAGGGTGGACTGCAGATTGGTCTCAGTGTGCATGAGGATAACATAGTTGTCAGCATACTGAAGGTTAGTGATACCAGTCTTGGTAACTTTTGTTTTGCTTTGAAGGTGCTGCAGATTGAAAAGCTGATCCATTCAATACTTAATCCCAATTCTGGGAGGAAGCTAGTCACGGATGAGAATCAAAATCACAACAAGCTACATGGAGAAAAGGGTTGAGGTGATGATGCAGCCCTGCTTGACACCAGTACAAATGCTAAATGGGTCTGTCCCTGCTTCACTGCAAAAGACTGTGGCAGTCATTCCTTCATGGAGTAGCTGATGCTGATGAACTTCAGTGGACAACCAAACCTAGCCAGCAACTTCCATAAGGTTTGAGTTGAAGGCCTTGGTCAATGAAAGCCATAAACAGCTACTAGTTTTGCTCTCTACAGTTCTCCTAGATCTGTCATGTAACAAAAATCATGTTGGTGGTACCCACGATGATCTAAAGCTGCACTGGGATTCTGGAAGGACAGGCAAGGGGGAGGAGGCAATTCAAAAAGATGCAGGTAAGAATCTTCCTGGCAATGGAGAGGAGGTCAATGCCCTGGTAGTTACAGCACACTGACTTGTCCCCTTTCTTGAAGATGATCACGATGTTGGCGTTCTTTAAGTCAAGTGGAACTTCTTCATTAATCCATATTTTGATGAGAAGTTGGTGAAGTTTTTGTGCTAGCACTGTTCCACTAGCTTTGAAGATCTCTGAGGGAATGCCCTCTGGTCCTGGCACCTTATTGTACTTGGTCTGAGTGATGGCACACCAGACTTCCTTGAAGGATGGGGGATGAGCAAGAGAGTCTGTTACTGGGTGTTGAGGGATGGACTCCATGATGGCAGTTGAGACCTCAGATTCTTGGTTGTTGGGAAGCTGGTGCACAAGTGACAACCACATGAACTTGACAAGACGGAGCCCTGACCCCAGTGGTAAGGACACCCAAGACAACCAGAGATCTTCATCCTGCTGCAGTCTTCATCTGCCTTCACATCCTCATAGAACCAGAAGATCCTCAAGTATGCCTTCTGCCATTGGGGTCTTCAGGAGTTCGGAGCATGCTTAGTCTGGGACCTCACCTCAAACCTGTTTTCCAGGAGAGACCCTACCAGAACTACAAGACTCCAGATGACGTATCTCTGAGTGTTACTGAAACACATAAGCCTCTCCAAGGTTATGGTCCAAGGAGAGGTAAGTGTATTATATTATTTAGTTTAAGATCAAAGCAAAAACTAATATAACTTTAATGGAATGTGCACTAATATTTTAGATAATATATAAAGTTTGAAAAACACAGTAAACTAGGCAAAAAATCAAAATATATTGTTTTATTAATACTGTCATCATTATCGTTAAATGCACATCAAGAGAAACTTTGCGTTAAATGCACATCTTTCATTCAGATTTGTAAAATAAAACCTAGCTTTCTTAAGCATCTTGACAGTGAACCCTGCCAATCATGTCCACACCTGAGTTTGTTTACCTGAGTTTAGTATTACCTTTAGCTAGAACTAAAAATAGTTTGCCGGGCTGTGAAATAAATGAGAGATAACCAGGAATGGCTAATAGACAGCAAAATTGCAGAAGAAAGGATGACTTAATTAATGGAACCTCAGGACCATTCAAGAAGAGAAAGGGTCCTTAACAACTGTGCAGTAAAGAGAGATTAGTAGGAATTGATTACATTATTAAGTGCCATAATGTCAGTTGACCTCCTCAATACTGCCTGAATAGAAATGCAGCTACTGACCCACATAGTTGGTTTTAAAGTTTTGGTGGAGCAGGAATCAAAGTAGGGTTGCGGACTGCAGCTGCAGCACTGCATTCCCCTGGATCCATCCCTGCCTACTTTCCTCCTGAATTATAAGGGTGAGAGGTGCCAGGAGTTATAGAAGTGAGAGGATGAATCATAGAATCATAGAATCATAGAAGTAGGGTCGGA